TTCCAACATTCTATCTATCAATCTATCTTTCTTCTTTCCGTTTTTTTCTAATTTTTACAGGATTTTATAGCTTGAGGAGATTAAGATGTGCACACCAATATTTTCCCTCACAACCTTTTCAAGTAAATCAAAATATGCAGAGAAATGTCAAAGACACAAAGACTGAATATTTAAAACTTCTGCCACATAAATGAGCAACCTCACTTAGCATGTAGAAACAAAAGTAATGATAATTTCTGCTTAAATCACAGTGTCCATCTGTGTGCAAAGTTATCCTATTTTTAACCTGAAGTTCTGTTTACTTCCTATATTGTATATATCCAATTTGCCACAATCATGTTATCATTGTGTGTGTGTACTAAATGAGACATTTGTTATGTTTAATTACATTTATGGCACCATCAGGCCATTTTTTTTTTTCAGCTACACTCACCAAACCACCTAAAGACCCTCATTTCACTTATTGTACATGCCTATATTTTGTTGTGTAATCATGTATGAAACATTTTATTTAGAAAAAAAACCCTCAAAATAAATACTTCCCAGCTTCTTATTGTCTGTTTTCTATCATTATAAATAGCCACTTCCTTTATCAATCTACATAATAAACATAACTATATACTAAAAGACAGACAAGAAGAACTGCAGTTCAACAGAGGTAAAAAAAAAGATAAATCAGAGAGACCCTACATGTAAGATTTCCCTTATCCAGCTGATAATAGAGTCTTTTCAAAAAGCAGCTTATATCAGGTTACCCCACATCTAATTCTTTAAATTACAATGCTTGAAAACATTTAAAACCTAAAATCCTTTTTTGGGAAAAAAAAAAAAAAAAAAAAAATCTATTTTAAATAAACCATAAGCATAGCATTTACAAAATGTTATTTGTAATAACTGTCAGGAAAATAAAAAAGGAATAGTTAAGTGAAACGTGACAAAAAATTGTGTTGATTACAATCTAGCAACTATCAAACCTACTCAACACCCATTAATTCAGTACCTGCTCAAGGGAAAAGCAAAGTGCAGGAATCATAAATTTACTGCTCTCTGTGCTCTCAACTGCAGCACTAACAGTGGAGGCTAAAAATGGGCTATATCCTTACTTCTGAGGGGGCATTTCTCCTCAATCACTGCAGGCAGGCCCAGACAAGCAAATAAATGTTTAGCTCACATAACTTAGAGCAAGCTTAACCCCAAGCAGCCGGGCATGGCATGTATGTATGTCACTGCCTACTGTGTGTTGAATTTAGTAATTGTTTTTACTTAAAGATGGCTCCACAAGTACTGTCACCAATAAGCCAATTATGCGAACTATTTGTCTTACCAGTTTACCCTTTTCCTTGATTTTTGATACTATTTTCTAATATTCACTACTGCTATTAGTAATGCCAGTAACAATATAGTTTTTATAATTTATAACATGAATAACAGTGTGAATATTGATAGCACTAGTAAAAAAAAAAAAAGGTATTTTCCCACTTTTTCAAGGAAAAGTGAGGTTGCAAGATCTACTAATTGACTCCTTTGTGGCTAAGTATTGGCAGAGCCATCTATGTGCAAAAACATTTGACCAAGCATTGCCAAAGGGAACACACCATTTTCCAGTCGACATTCGGTTAACAGTACATGACACCACATAATGGGCTAATGAAGTATACTAACTTAGGAATTGGTACACTAGGCTATATGGCCTAACTCTACACATCAGTACTCTAATCCTTTGATGCATCACTTCTTAAGGGTCCTGGAAAATGTATTGCTATCTATTATAATGACTTATCAATTCCTTCAACTTAGTAACCTTACTCTTTGTAAGCTGGCTTCAGACACTGCAAGAAAACCATGGCAAATCTAAAGGGAAACCAACATATGAACTAGAACTTTAAAATATACAAATAGCATGAGGCAGAAGTTTGCTTCTTCTTTCATTAGGAGTATTATCAGAGTGGTAATTAGAAAAAAATAAAATAAATAAAAAACAGCTTACAAAAGAAGTGACAGACTAGCAGTCTGTGGCTGACATGTGACCCTTGAAGAGGAGAATGGCCCTAGTGATGACTATCAGACTGAAAATTCCATAAAATTTGTCACAAAATCAAATACCATCACATAAATATTACAGCCACTGTTCGGAAAAACATATTAACATATCTAAATAATTCACTGATGATGATTTATGTACAGATGGCCTTAAGATGATCATAAAAATCAAAGTATGATCTTTGGGATATGTTGAACAACACTGAAATTTCAGGACATCTGAAATGCCTCAGATATACAATTTCCGGTTACTTTCTAATTATTGCCTACCTATTAGCTAAATATTTTCTTTGCCATGCATCTGTTTCATTTACTGATCTTTGTGTCCTTTGGGGACATGCCAAAAATAAGATTTTTCCTAAAACCATATCAAATTTCAATGGGTAACAGGGAATGGTTTGCTTGTTCTATTAACCCACTCGTGCCGGGTGTCACATCCACGGCGTCCTGCTCTGGCCCGCCAGACGCTGTATCAGGGCTGTGCTCTGACGCAGCAGCGGCGTGCAGCCGAGCGGGCGGACAGACTCCGGGGAAGCTCCGCCCGCCGATTTTGTAGCCGCCCGGATTTTTTTTATTTTGGCTACAAATTGTACCCTGCATGGGTGGGTTAAGATGACAAGGAGCAATTTCTTTTGAGTTTGTGCATATGAGCAGCTTCCAACAGCCAAAAGAGCGCTAAATGAGACAATTCATACTGCAAGTCACCTTAGCCTTCGCTCATGACTGAAGTTCACATCACCCATACCTCGGCTCAAGTTTTTCCATGACATGACCACAACGTCATCCAGGTCTATGGGTTAACAAGTATGGATGAGTTTTTAAACCACTAGTGAGTATATTTTGAAGCCAAAAATAATAGTTTACGGGCGGCTCCAAAATCGGTGCGCAGGGCTGGCCCAGAATCTACCGGCCACAGCTCGCAACGGAATCAGAACGCAAGCTCTGATCCAACGTCACACTGGCACGACGCCAGGCAATGTTTATTTTTCCGGGTGTCTCATATGTGGGACACCCATCGTAAATGGGTTAAAAAGTAATAAAAGACTACCATCTCCCAAATTTTCTCAATCCAAGTTTGTCAAATTGAAAACAATATTATTTTGAAAAACAAAAATTAACCAATCAAAACAATCAATCACACGGCTTCAAACTTCCTTACTCAATTTACAAGAGAAATTCTTACCCAAATGCAGGTCACTTACACCAAGAACGTAATCAATACATACCAAAGTCAGTCCTATGTCAAGCAGGTTGTTGCACCAATTCTTATTTCTCCTGTTTGCACTTAGCAAGCCAAGCAATTCATATCCAATATAACCTTTTTCTTTTCCATTCTTTGGCAGTAGTAGACTCTGTATACCAATAAAAGACAATCAAGAAGCCAGATTCTTTTCACAAAAAAAGGCTGATACTTCAGAAAATATCATCACTAATCTGCTAATATCAAAATCAATTTCACATAATTTTATCTAGAAATTTTGCACTTGATGATTCACAAAGTCGGTTTTAAAAATTACAAATGACTAAAGTAAAAACTTTTGCATACTTGTATGAAATAAGGAGGGGTGTTGTACACAGATACCCGTAAATTGAGTTTATGCACATTTAAGCTAGAGATGCAGGGATGGCAAAAATACATGCCATGTCCACTGTTATTTTATCTTACTCATTTTTCTTACACATAGCTAGCTCCACCAAGGTATCAATTACTAGTCCTACCTGCCCCCACCTGTTTACCTTTTTTCTTGATTTTTTGGAAAGAATTTTGTTCTTCAATTCTATATGTGCTAATTCACTGTTGTCAGGTAGCAAGTTATATGTACAAGGAAAATGTTTATTAATTTCTAATGCTATTACTGATCTTCATAAGATAATTGTTAATAATACTATTAACAAAAGTGTCCTCATAATGGTCTTGGCAATATTAATGGTAAAAACGTTTCTTTCTGAAAATTGCGAGAAAAGGGTAAACAAATGAAATCAGATAGGCCTTCGTAAACTAACTCCTTGGTGACTATGTGTAAGGAAAATTAAATTAGATTAAAATGGACAGGGGTTGTATATATGCATCAATAGGTTAACAGTTATCAGTGTCTCACTATGACCAGAAGTAGGCACTAGGCAGTGTATTGGCAAGTGGCAAGGGTGAGTTACAGGCAGAGGTGAGTGAATGGACAAGAAGCTTGGTTGATTGATGGGCAAGAGGCCAGAGTAGAAATTGGTATAGGTCAAGGAAAGGGGACAGGTGAGAGAGAGGAAGGGAAGTCAGGGACTGGGAGGGAAAGCAGAAGGGCTGGAGAAAGGAGTGGGTAAATGGGAGTGGGTATAAGTGTGCTGATTCAGAGCAGAAGTTGAGGGAAAAGGTACACACTACACTAAGGACATGCAGTGTTCATGCTTAAGAACTCTTAGGGGTTCACATTTAGAGGATATGTTAGTTGCAAGCATTAAACCTCTTCTGATTCAAGCAATGAAAGTAATCATAGTACACAAATGTCCACAACAGATAAATATTAACAAATCAGTGATATATACAGAAAACTGATGAATGAAAATCTAGCTCGATTTCTTTCTCTGAATCCTGGCTTCCTCATGGTCAATCTTTCTGGATGACTGTTCAAAGGTCAATTTCATTTGAAAAAAAAAAGGAGTAATAACATCTTTGCTATCACAAATTCACATCACACTGGAATTTTCTTCCACTGTAATATTTTTTCAACACTTTACGTTTTCTATGCATCATACTTTCACATTTCACATCGATAAGCACTTTTACCACTGCAGAGCATAATATTGCACATGAATTTGAAAAGCACCATCACTGTATTTCTATCACTTCACTGATCACTGTAACGAGATTGATCTTGCCACACAACCTCCTACACTGACGATCATTTCTTTTCTAATTTTCTGAAACACTAAAGAGAGAGCTTAAACACATTCATGAAACCACAACTCACTTTGTAATCTCCTGAAAGGCGTAACCATCCTGCCAGTTTTCCTGAAAGGTGGCCCCAACCCTCTGAGTGACAAATTGTCCTAGCCTTAACCGATTCTGCATGCATTTCTGCCGCGCTTCTTTCTTCTCTATATTTGACTTCTCAATTAGTAATTTCTTGACTACTTCAATGCACTTATTAATTTGTAATTGTTTCTGTTCAAGGAGTTTGCTCTGACTCTGTAGCTGTCGAGATAGTTCTTCATTTGTCTAAAAAGAAGAAAATAGAACACAAGCTTAAAATCATGAATATATCATGCACATCTCTTACCATATACCATAAAAATCTGATCATCACAATACTTCAATTTCATATACATCTCACAAAGCTTACAATATTAGCTTTTAAACTTTTTGCAGAGACCACAAACCAACCACAACCCAACATATACTCACACACTGTAAATTATCAATCCTAGAGTTCTTAGCCTCCATATCCATTGACGCCCGACTCTCCATCTCGTCTACCTGTCTATAAGTGATATCACTCTGTGTGCCTCGATGACTGACGGGGACTCCTCGGGGAGGAGGCATCAACCCAACCAATGGATCTCCTAAACCGCCACTGTGACCAGTCTGGAAAAGAATACGGAACTCAAGATACCAATTTTACACTATTTACGATATTAAGAAATATATGTGAAACTGAAGGCACACTGAATAATCCACACAGCTTGATTTCAGATATTTTAGGCAAAAACACACATTAGTTTATACAAACACAATGGTAATCCATGAATTCCATGAGAGATAAATGAGCATCCTAGGCTGATATTGGAATAAATGAACATCAAATACACTAGAACATCTATTTAACAAGATAAAGAAATAAATGAATACTGCATAGGTTGCAAAGGCTGTAAAAACAAAATATAAAAAAGGATAAATGTTTAATTATGAAATGAATCAAGTCATAGATAATTGCAAATATAATTGTGCTTCATGTATCTCAAACTCTGCAATATTGTCAAGCAAACAATATACAAAGCAAATCACTAAAACAGTATATGAATGAATACAATATATCAGTGACTTACCATATGGCTCAAATGTGTTTGTGGGGATGGACTCTTTGCTCCAGAGTGTCTGTGGGGAGAATTAGCTTGTTGCTGCTGTTGTTGTTGCTGCTGCTGCTGTTGCTGTTGCTGCTGCTGTTGTTGCTGTTGGTGCTGTTTGAAGTAATCGTTAATTTTCTTTACCTCAGTTCCTCTGCTCATCTTAGGGGCACTGCCCCCTCCTCCCTCGTCACTCTGAACCCCTTGCACTCCTTTCCGCTTCCTTTTGCGGTCATTCGGAGTTCGCTGTTGGGCTTTTTCTGGACTGGTGCCTTCTTCTCGGTCTGATGACCCTGTAAATCAAGAAATGTGATTAATGGGACTTCCTTTTTTGCAATTGATCTGTGACAGTATGAGTACCATTATATATGACTAAGGTTGTTTGTGAAGGAAATATCTATCTGAAAATCCAATAACAGAAACTTCACAGCTAGATTAATTCATACCTTATGAAACGAACTAGACTATGACATCAATACAAATCCAATACCTTCCTGACTTTGTTAATTAGGTTACAATTGCTGTTAACAGGGTAGGCAAAGTGTTACTACTAACCTGTACTAAGATTGGAATCTTGTCTATCCAGTACAATAGGCTGGGACCCAGACCCGGACATGGAAGAGGGTGGTTGAGTGGATTGTGGAGTTGCTTTGGACTACTCCCACTGAGGTGAACCTGAGGAAAGAAATTATTTCATTAGTGGGAAACCAGCCTCAACCATTAGATGAAAAAACCCCCACTTGCCATGCAAAAAGGAACATAAAACCCAATTTACCCAAACTACAACCCCACTGATAAGAAAAAATTTTCTCTAAATCATTTTCCTTATTTGAAAAACTTGAGTATTTTTTGAAAATTCATAGGGAAAAAAAAAAAG